CAGACCATCTTATGGACTACATCACTCTCTGATTTTGTCGACCACCGTTCATACTCAAAACCATTCTCTCACATTACATCGACCATCGGCCCTTTATTTCCTCTCAACCACCTTACTCACCTTAAAGCCACCTTCGTCGACCCTCGCCTTAAAGCAACAGTCATCCTCCATAGTTTCTTCTCGCAAATCCTCCAACATTATTCACAGCCAAAAGTACAATTAAATTCAAATTAAGAATATAAAAGGAAAATTTCACTTTTACTACCAGCAAAAGCACTACGTTTCAGATTTACTACCTAATTAATTTTTTTTTTAATTAACTACCACCAAAATCCCCTAACTGTAGAAATAACTACCATTTAACGCTTTCTGTTAGTTAGCTGTTAGTGGGGCCCACCTTATTAACTAACATCCTCTTCTCTCTCTCTCTAACTTTCGCTATGTCTCTCTCTATCTCCTCCCATTCAATTCTCTCAACCTCCATTATTGACTTCATTTCAATTTTTTTACCTCCTTTTGACCACGAATCTCTTTCTCTCTCTTACAGTAGTTCCTCAGTCCCTCTCTCTCTAACATATCTTCAGATCTAGGGTTTGAGTGCGTGTAAGCTTCTGAGTGGAAGAGAAGGTCCAAGTGGGAGCATTCGTAGTCTCTATTGCTAAAGTGGAAGCTTTAGGATATTTCTGACAGCATTTGACAGGTAAGAACTCTTTTTCGTACTTATAGTGGTCCAACGAAGCATGCATGGTGGTTTAATTGCAATATATTGTGTTGAATTTGGGCAAAATAGGCAAAGAAGTTGATAATACACCCTAGAATTGCGTGCTCTGAATAATTTAACCCTTAATTAGAAATTAATTAATTATTTGTGTGTATACTGTCATGTGTTATGCTGTGTTGTTGTGTTTATAATTGTTAATTGGTTGGATTTGGTGTTGAATTAAAAATTGATTTGTTGCATGTTTGACTTGCTGTAATTGTAGAATAATGGATGGTGCTGATGAGTGTATTGATATTAAAATGAGATTATTTGGAGGGTTTGTGGAAAAGCATAGAAGGGGAAGGAGGTATTTGGTTTATGAAGCTGGGTTTGTGTATTGGAAATATGCTGTTCCTGTGTCATTTGTGAGGAGTGTCAGTTACCTAAGGTATCTTTGTAGTGAAGGGTTTATAAGTATGGGGTGGGAGGTTCCTCAGGTTTATAGCTTGTGGTTTAAGGAGAGAGGGAAGACTTGGGTTACTGGGAAGAGAAGGATTGACAATGATGATGATGTCAGGGACTTCTTGGAGTCCAAACATAGTGAGGGGCATGTGGAGCTGTATCAAACAGTTGGGTTGGAAGAGTGGGATAGGTTTCACCCTATTGCTGTAACTGTGTCAAACCCATCCATATCCAACCCATCTCTTTCTCAACCAACCAATTCAAATCCAAATGCAAATAACCCACAACCAAATGCTAATGGATCTAGGCCTTCTAGATCAAACCCATCCCACCAGAATCCAACTCACACACAGCAGTGCTCTAATTTAAAAGGCCTATCAAAACCCCAAAAGAGCCCTGAGTTGAGCATTGTACCAGTTTCTAGGAGGAGCCCTAGGTTTAGCAAAGTTTGTGAGAGTGAGCCAAAAATAGTTTCTTTACCTAAACCCAATCCTAAACCTAAACTGATATCTAAGAAGCCAACTCAGGCTGTGGTGAGGAGAAGTCCCAGATTTACCAGCAACAGTGCAAAGGAGCAGGGTTTGAGTGGTGTTAGTGACAAAGGGAAGGGCAAAAAGTGTAAGAGGAGGCTTTTTAAGGGTGAGGAAAGTGGATCAGAAACAGGATCCTCATCTCAGTCAGATGACAGTGTTCTGGATATAGATTGGAAGGCTGGTGAAGAAGATTTAGGTGGGAGTGAAGAGGATCAAGAAGAGTGGCATATACAAACAAGAAAAGGGTTAGTTGGAGAGGTTGAAAGGAGTCTGCAAGTTGTTGAAGACAGTGGTTTTAGGAAGGATAAGGCTGAGAACTCAGAAAAGAGGGTTACACAACTAGGGCAAGACATTGGCTGCAAGGATCTTGAGCTGCAAGTAGAGGGCAGTGACTCAGATGAGCTGAGGAGTCTAGATGGTTCTGATGAAGAACAAGATACAAGTCCCTGGTTCAGAGAAGACACAGACTTCAAGAAGCCAGTGGTGTTAGTTGAGAAGCTCAAGTTCAGCAATGTTGGAGTGTTAAGGAAGGCCTTGAGGACACATGCCATAGAAAACAGGTATGAGTTCTACTACCTGCACAATGGTGGGAAAAGGATTACAACTTTTTGTAGAAGGAGGTGTAATTGTGAGTGGAATTCTAAGAGGAGTAATTTGCCACTGTGCAAATGCAGTGATGAAGTGAGAAAGTGTGAGTTTAAGGTGGCTGCTAGGAAGATCTATGGTAGTTCGTTGTGCTTGGCAAATAAAAGAACTGAGACTTAAGCATAGGTGTATGAGGACAAAGATGAATACTTGTGTGACAGCTGAATTCTTGGCTGAAAAGTATGTTGAGGAGTGGAGAGTGAATCCAGACTGGAAAATGAAGAGTTTTAGAGCTAGGGTGTTGAGTGATTTGGGTGTAGAAGTTGGGTATGGCAAAGCATGGTTAGCAAGAGCTAGGGCTAAGTTGATGATCTATGGGTCTGCTTCAGAGCAGTATGCTAGGGTGTGGGATTATGGCAAAGCAGTGCTCAAATACAATCCTGAGAGTAAAGTGTACATAGTTCTTGAGGGAATTGATAGACCCCAACCACCATTGTTCTTGAGGATGTACTGCTGCCTGACAGCTTTGAGAAGTGGCTTTAACAAAGGGTGTAGGCCTTTGATTGGTTAGGATGGATGCCATTTGAAGGGGCCATATCCAGGCCAATGCCCATGAGGGGTTGGGTCTGGTGTTCATGTCAGATAGGCAGAAGGTAAATTTCTTGTACTTTCTTGGTTTTTTTGTTGAATTTTTATTTTTTTTATTTTTTTATTTTTTTCCTCTTTGTTTAGCTATTTTTATCATTTATTCCAATGTGAACTGATATGTTGTTTTTGTGTGTGTCATGTATTGTGTTTGTAAGGGTCTGATGGAGGCTTTTGAACAACTTGTACCAATGGCTGAGAAGAGATACTATGTGAGACACATCTGGGCTAATTTCAAGCTCTAGTTTACTGGCTCAACATTCAAGGAACTCTTCTGGAATGCAGCAAGAGCCACCACTCTGGTAATGGTTCTGATCCCTGACTTGATTCTGTCTGTCTGTTCTGTCCAGTTCAGCTTTTGAGTAATCTGCTTGTTGGTTTATTACTTGTTGCTGTTTATGCTTGGTGGTTGTTGTTGTTTTAGGATCATAAAAGTTGTATGCTACAAATTGTATAGCTAATTGTTCAACACCATGCTGTTCTGTTCTTGCTTGTTTTCTATTCTGCTTTTAAGTGTGTGTTTTAATTTGCATTTTTGTCATGGTAGTTTGATTTTGAGGTAGCAATGGAGTCCATAAAGTTTTTGTCTGAAGATGCCTATGAATACTTGGCAAATATACCAGCACAACATTGGAGTAGGCATGCATTTTCAGATTTCAGCAAGTCAAATATGATCTTGAACAATGTATGTGAAATCTTTAATGGTGTGATAAAGGATGCTAGAGATAAGCCAATTCTCACTCAAATGGAGTGGATGAGGAAATATATGATGAAAAGGAATAGTGAGAAATGAGAGAAAATTCAGAAAATGGAAGGGAAGAACACTCCATATGTGGCAAAAGTGTTTGAGAGAATGGAAAAGGCTGCTAGGTATTGCATTGTCCAACAGTCCAGAGGGGACAGTTATGAGGTTGAGTTGAATGGGGATAAAGTGGTAGTTGACTTGCATAAAAAAACATGTAGTTGTTATCACTAGCAGCTGACTGGAATTCCTTGTGTACATGCTTTTACATGTATTCTAGACAAAAGGACAGATCCAGATGACTATGTTGATGAATATTACAGCAGGGAAACATATATTCTAGCCTATCAAGATGATGTTAAGCCTATGCCAGGGCCAAAGTATTGGGAAAAAATTGACATGCCACAACCACTCCCCCCTCCAGTTAGTGTTATGCCAGGGAGGCCTAAATCTAAGAAGAGGAAGCTGGAAAAGGGAGAAAAGGGAGAAAAGAGACAAAAAGGAGAGGGTGCAGGACAAAGCAAAGAACCTAAGGCCCCTAAGACTCAGAAAAGATGCAAGAATTGTGGTCAACTTGGTCATTATGCCAAAACTTGTGGCAATGCACCAAGCACTCAACCACCACCATCTGCCCCAGCATCAGCACCAGCATCAGCACCAACATCAACATCTGAGGCAAAAAAGGGGGCAAGCCTGTCCAGAATACCCCTTGGCTGCAAGAGCAAAGGAGAAAAAAGGCAGCAAGGGCTGCAAGAAATGTAAGTAAATGTGTGTGTGTGTATTGCTTTGAGTAATGTGACCTGTCAACATTACTAAGTGTTACTCTTGTTTTTTTTCCACAGACTGCTGAAGGAGCTGGGCCATGAAGTATTGGCAACAGGTCCTTCCCACAAGAAAAACAGCAGCAACACCAACCTATGTGCTCCTCCCAGCCTACTGCATGCACACAACAGTCCCAAGCATCTACAACAACAACAGCAGTCCCCCCCAAGAAGCAAGAAAAGGGCAAAAATAAAGCACCCTAACTTGTTTAGTTGAATCATTTTGTACAATGCATGGTCTACAACAATTAGCTTCTGCCTTACTAAATTATGATTTTTAGTTTCTAATCTCTGTTTGTAAACCTTAACTACTTGACATTATCTAGTTTTTGTATGCAATGAAACAATTAACTTTGCAATGCTATGAAAATATGCTTGGAACCTTGCTCAAGTGTGTTTGATGTCTCATAAAACTTGTTTATTTCATTCATAATTGAAGTTGTTACAAGTTCAATATGCCCACTTCATTTGAGCATACAAACATAACTGTTACAACTACTACTCTAGACTTTTTAAAGCATCACTATAGCACCTACAAACATCAACATAAAACATAACACAACACCCACAACAATAGTCCCACACCCAGCCCTGTTCTGTTGCCTTTCTCCTGAGTACTTCTTCCTGTCAGCATTCAAAGCTTTGCACTTGATCTTCAGATTGTCGTTCTCACTCGACAAGCACCTTCTCTGGCCAGTAAGGTCTTCAATTTCTCTTCGCATTGAGTTCATCTCACCCTTCATCAGTTTTTTGTCCAAGATTAGTTGATTAATCATTTCTTTTTTCCAATCACTCCCATCTTCATCCACCCACTCAAAGCTCCTGCAACCTCTAGTTTCTGTGTTAGGATCATAAAACTTGCATGCCAAAAACTTTCTTCCAGGGTTCTCCCTAGTCCAAGAGGTGAGCCTTGCCATGGGAATGCCACAGTTGCATTTCTTGTATTTGGAAGGTGAACTACTTATTAAAGACATGCTGTCCTACAAATCAAGCAAATTTAATCAACATTTACATTACCAAACACATTAATTCCAACCCTAACCTGTCAATTTACCAATTATCACACCCAAGCAAAAAACCCCAATTACAATTTCGCAAACAAACCCTAAATTTTCAGTTGTTCAATTCACTACAACTTAGCACAAGTTTCAATTCAATTTACCACACAAAACATTATTAAACACAACAATTTATCGAATCTCAGTGTTAATTTTGGATCAAATTACAATAATTGAGCAAATTACATAAAATTGAACAGCGACCATACCTTTTTCGCCCTTTATGTTTCTTCGCAAATTCAATCTCCAAATTCCAATTAACTTCCTCGCTGATATCTCTCGATGATTATCTAACTGAAATTGTGATTTTTGAGGGCCAATTTTTCTGGGAAAGATTGAGCAACGAACAGATTCAGAGCAGCAACATTAGAGGAAGAGTATTTTTAAAGGGGAGGCTTGAACTAGCCGTTGCTGTGGGACCCCCTAACAGCAACAGTAACGGGGCTACCATTTGGTAGTTATATCTACAGTTAGGGGATTATGGTGGTAGTTATTTAAATTTTTTTTAAAAACAGGTAGTAAATCTGAAAGTTGGTGCTTTTGCTGGTAGTAAAAGTGAAAATTTTCAATATAAAATTCAAAATTTTTCATTTGCAAAACTTACAAGTAAAAATTTCGAAAATATTGAAGTGGGACCAAGTGGGCCAACTGTTCCAACCAATAAAAACCCTTCTCTATGTGTACCCTGTCGGGGGTTTAGTAGAGTCCAAACACTTCATCGCACTACTCTACACTTCAAGGTTTCTCTCTCTACTTTCTCTCTCATAAATTTTGAGTTGATTTTACAATTTCATCGTCTATTTTTGCAATTGATTGTTGATTATTTGTGTTTATCTGATTATTGTTCTTCGTTTCTCTGTTGATTGATGCTATTTGTTTTGATTGCGATGAATTTGTTTTTTCGGTTTTGGTTTTGTTGAAGCTTCAAAAAATTTGTCTTTTTTAATTTTTGTGTTTGATTAGTTGACTATTTGATGTGTTTGATTTGTTCTGTAAATGTATAGCAAATGTGATGTATTGTTGTTGCGGAAATTGGTGGAATTAGGTTACTGAAATTAGGGTTTAATTTGACTAGAATGGGATTTTTTTGCACGATTTGATGTTTGAATTTAGGTTATTTTGTATAAATTTTGTTGGGTTGACAAGGACCAGGTTAGTTCAGTTTCGATCCCTTTGTAGTTTAGGGTTTGGGATTTTTATGGCAGGGTATTGGGAGTTGGCCCATGTTGTTGAAGTGGGAAGTTTTATTCATCTTGAAAGTAGTTTTCTGGTTATTATTTGGGCTGGAAATCTCGGGTTTAAGAGCATTGCGATATATTGATGAATTGGAAAAGGGATTTTCATCCCATCTTCCTAACCTTACAGTATACATTGCTTGTTTGGCATATTGGAAAGGTAAAGTTTCGTTGCAGCGCCTCGACGGTTCTGAATGCTGGATAGCTAAACCAGCCACTCTGTTGGGTAAAGTGTGGTGCTTGATTTTTGCTACCTTTTTAAACTCTGCTATACAGTGCCTGTATCGTATCTGGGGAAATTAATTTTTCGTAGGATCCACTCAATTGTTCAGTATGTTAGGTAGCTTAATTTGCAATACTATTGGTCTAATGGGTAAAGCTTGTTGCTTGATTAGAAACTTTTAATATTATGTGTGATGTGATTTATATTTTGTTCACACTTCATGCATAGAATGTAATGTGATTGAAGCTTCATTGTGGTAGCGTTGTGCTAATTTTTCCTCTTAGTTCGGGTTCTTTAATATTCGAGTAGCCTTACTCCAATTTATAGTCACTATCACTTTGTTAGTAGAACAGAAGCCATAAGGTGCATATAGAATTTTCTTTTTTCTAACATTTTCCCCTTTTGATTTAGTTTTGAAGGCTGTAAGTATGGCGTTCTTCAGTAAAGTTGGGAATATACTCAAACAAGAGTGTGAGTAAAGTTGGATAATTTCTAATTTTAATATATTTCCTTTTCCATTAAAAAAAAAGGTATCCCCCCCCTCTTTAAAGTTATACACCCTGTTTTGTTTTTTTTTATTTTGCTATGAATTGATCATTTATGAAGTGGGTTTCTTTTACTATAGCAGATTATGGTTCTCTTACATAGTGTTTGTTGATTTTGTGGTATCTTGACTTCAAGAATAGAAGTATTGTGTGCTAATTTTTAGTGAATTGAAGTATGTGATTTTAAATTACGTACCTTCTTGCTTTATTTATTTAAATTTTATGCACATTGTGCACAATTTCTCTATTCTTTAAAACTAAATTAAGCCTTCTGCATTAACAGATAAATTTGATGGAAGCCTTGTTGAGTGCGCATGTTGTGAAGGTTCCTGTTTGTCATGTAAAGCAGTGTAATCACTCTTTACTCACTCCCTCTCCTCCGAGATTAATTGGAAAACTACATCGGAGTGCATTTGGGATGATGAATAGCTCCAAATTGACAAATTCAGTTACTGCTTCAATCCAGCCAGTGGAAGCTTCAACCACTGAACGGTTTGACAACACACTACCATCCAAAGGTTTCCAATGAGCTGTTACATCAAAATCTCTTATGTCCTTATTTCTGTTGCTGGAAAAAGAATAGTGTTTTTAGCTTGTCTTTGTCCTCTTTTGAACAGTTATTTTTGGGCAACAACCATTTGAAGCTTTTTCTTTTTTCTAGACAAAACCTTTTACTGAATGAAAGAGTTACGTGAACTGTAGATTTTTTTTTTTTTTTTTTTTACTTTTTTTTTTTTTAATTATTAGGCTAGTACACTCGTATTGCAGACTAAATAAAGGCTTTAATAGGAGGATCATCTTTAGTTGGAACCAAAATCATTTTATTTTCCCTAAAAGAGGTGAAATGTGTTTTCTGATGGATTATATGCTCTCTTTGTTATGCTTACCTGGGTTTGTTTTTAATCATGAAGATTGATTTATCTGCAAGTTGGTCTAAAAAGAAAAACTATCAAGAAGCATCAATTTGAAGAGTCATATACACCACTATGCCTGTGGTGATGTCTAGGACATTTCCATGCAGGCTAGTACAGTTTATACTTGATGCATAAGAATAGGCCTTTTACAGTTCTTGTACTTTGCTCATCATACTATTCTTATTAGCTTACAACTTGATTTCTTCATGATCGCTGTGAGTGACATTTTTTTTTTCATAATTCTGCAGAAGTACTTGGCTTATGGAGAAATGTAGATGCTGTTTGTTTTGATGTTGATAGCACCGTGTGCGAAGATGAAGGTATTGATGAATTTGCTGAGTTTTGTGGAGCTGGAAAAGCAGTTGCTGAGTGGACATCAAGGTTGAGTTTATGCTTACACAGTGAAGGTTCCTGGTGGGTTTCTATTAGATGCTGATACAAGTTTTTGAATTTCTTTCCGCAGAGCAATGAATGGATCAGTTACCTTTCAAGAGGCACTAGCTGCTAGGCTATCTTTAATAAACCCAACCCTTTCCCAACTCCAGGATTACCTAGAGAAGAGGCCTCCAAGGTAAGCAAATAACAAATATGTGGATGAACTAATTTCAGTAATATTACTGAACTCTTATGATGTCCAAATGCTTTATATAGTAACTTGCCAAAGAACTCCAAGATGACATCCTCTTAGCTTGGCTTGAAATCTTATTGAATATTGATCCATCTTTTTGATTTGAACATTTAGTGCTCAATGTCTCAGCGTCACCTAGTTGACACGGACATAGCCACTAATGTACATAGGAATATAGGATAGACAGAGTAACATGTCGTTTGTACAATTCTTCTTACCCATGCCACTTTTATTTGATCTGCGTATCTAAATTCATAGCCTGATAACTTCATAACTCTGATAAGCTGAAAGGCCATGTGGTTTATGGATCTCAGGATCTGCTTAAAAATAACGGACCCCATTTATTGGATTAAAGTACTATTTTCCTTTTGTCTTTTCACTATTGTTCTTCGTTTTGTTAGCCTTGAAAATTTTGGAACAAATGTATTGACATTGTGGATATAATCATCTTCTTTGGGTTTTTTCCCCCTATTTTTTGATTTATTTTATTTGCATTTAGCAACATAAATATTTATCTTTATTGATGGTTTTTGTTGGCCTAGAACTTGACTTAATGGAGACTATGGTTACTTGTTTTAGAATTTAATATTTGAAGCTTATTAATATATATATCTACTGGTATTGTTCTTTACTGTGCACTCCATGTTTATGAATCTTGCTCATGAATTTTGTAGATATCATTGACCAGTCAACCTTATTGATATACAGACTATCTCCTGGCATAGCAGAGCTGGTTAGGAAGCTTAAGGCTAAGGGCGTTGATGTTTATCTGGTCTCAGGAGGCTTCCGGCAGATGATTAATGTATGCTATCCAGTATTCACTACCTTATTAGTGTCCTTGTTAGTTGTCATCTCTGATTACAAAAATGAATAATGGATGAAACTTTATCACTAATTAGCACTGCTGACTCAATATATAATTGTGATAGCTTAAATAGTTCTGGTCATATTTTTCCAATTTGGCTTCCAAATATTCATTACAAATTTCTCATCCTGAAGCCTGTTGCATCGATCCTTGAAATTCCACTCGAAAACATTTTTGCCAATCAAATGCTTTTTGGAGACTCCGGAGAGTTTCTAGGGTTCGATGAAAATGAGCCTACTTCAAGGAGTGGAGGAAAACCCATAGCAGTTCAACAAATACGGAAGGTTTGTTTAGTTGCCCTTTTTATAATTGATTTACAAGTACTACGTAATATTTATGGACCATTACTAATCTTGAATTTCAGGCTCGTGGGTACAACACGTTAGCCATGATTGGTGATGGAGCTACGGATCTTGAGGTAACCATTCATTTCAACATTTTATTTTACGTTACTTATGATTTAGATTTCAGGTCTACTTGCTGATTTTTGTTGATCTAAAGGATCAGGATGTTTTAGAGCATTTTATGATCTCAGATGGCTTTTAGCTGTTCTAATGTTGGTGCTAGTTAGTGGAAATCTCCAGACAATAGTTTAATTAATTGCAGATTAAAAATTCATCAAACTATTGGGTTCAAAAGTGGAATTGGAGTTTGTGTCAAGTAACCCTTATCTTCAGACCAGTCTGGGTTAGCTCTGACTTCTAAACCCCAGCCACTTTGAGTTAAATTGTTCCAGCCTTGCTTGGGAACTTCCCTTCTTGTTTTGATTCCTATACCAGTTTAAAATATTGTTGCCCTTCTTTTGTGCCCTACTGATCCAAGCTTCATTGCTTTCCACAACCCATGCTTCTCAAAAAAAAAAATCTGGCCATTGGAGGTAAATTTTAAGAAAACTAATATTCTGTCTCACATTATGTTTCCTAGACCTTTCTAGTTTTTGAGGCGAATATTTGATTTTTTTTTTTTGTGTGTGTGTGTGTGTGTGTGTGAGTGTCAAGGTTCGTAGTGTTTTCATTATTTTAAGATGCTTTAAGATCATATGCAATACCAATTTAAATTTGCAAACTTCGACTGAAAAAGTTAAGAGGATGTGTAATATGAGAGAGAGAGAGCGAGTGAGCTAGTGTTACAGGTTTACAGTTGTTCAGTTTTTTCTTTATCTCGACAACCAGCATCATGGCAAAGTGATTATGTTTTGCTAAAAGAGTAAAAGATTTCTACATTGTGTGCATGGCTTCTGGCTATTTGATACTGTAGTGTGTCTTTTGTGGCGTATTTTCGTAAGGGTTTATATTTTTTGTGTCAAATAAATATGACTCGGGTTTTTGTGCAACTGTAGGCTCGTCAACCTGGGGGTGCTGATTTGTTCATCTGCTTTGCTGGAGTTCAACTTCGAGAGGCGGTTGCTGCGAAAGCTGACTGGCTAGATTTTAATTTTAAAGATCTTATCAATTCCCTGGACTAGCTTAACCTTCTAGAAAAAGTATCACCATTTTTTCTTCATTTCCTGCTCTTCCGGTGCCTCTTGAGAGCGAGGAAGTATAGAGGTTTTATTTCAGTCAAAATATTAGATAGATGCACAACATATAACATAACACATCAGCTGCAACACCGTCCACAACCCTCCTACTTTAAAGGCGTACACCACTGAAGATCGGTATAACATCTCGACAACTATAACTTCTTTACAACCTGAGAGAGACCTTCTGGTGCAGTGGCTCAAAGGTCACCTAACATCCTTGATGTGCGAAGTTCGATTCTAATCAGTCATGAATCCCCCTCCCCTTAGCCCCCGGGCATTGTGAGTCAGGCTTCCTGTGATAGGAGACTCGATTGGAGGCCTAGTTATTGTTACTGGGTAACATCATCCTATTCTAAAATAATGGAGTTTTAACTCTTGATTACTCAAAAGATTTACCCAGATTTACCCAATAAAGAGGTTTGTATGTGTCTTAATTTTTTCTACATGCTACGTCATATATTATCAATACTAAAAAATAAAATAAAATAAAATAAAATAAAAATCTTTTAATTTTTAAATTTCAAAAATTTGTTTCCAATATTATCCTGGTTAACTTTTCTGAATCAAATTTTACAAAAAGGTGTGGAATTCAAATCGATAATTAGTTTTTTTGTGAATTTAGTTTGATTGAAAAATCATTAAAAACACAAAATATTATGATCCGTTCTTTTCCTTGTGGAGTTGTGACTTTCTATGATACAATTTTATTTTACCTTCCAAATGCTTTCTTATTTTGTATTCACAAATTCTATGATTAATTTGTTGTAAAATCTTTAATAATTAAACCTGAAATCAAATTTTAATAGATTTTAATTTGATCTAAAAAAAACCTAACCACGAAAGACATATTTCAACATTTCGCTAATAAAGTCAATAATTTGCTAATTAACTACTCTATACTCCAAACTTAATTAAATAAAATGCAAGACTATGTACTTCATATTTTCTTCATTCTTTAATAATCGCAATGTTATCGTTTTAGAAAACTTGCAAAATAAATGCAATACTTATATAATTTTATCGGAATATTAATTTCTCTATTTTTTTTTACCGTAACACACACGTATACTGTAACGTCCCGACTTTTAATCGGCGTCACCGAACCGTATATAACTCGTCATTCGCAGCGAAATTAATTAACCATAGATAAACCATTCTTTACTCATCATACTAAGCGGAATCAATTATATATAGATAATCTCATAGCCACCTGTGGGTTATGGGCCCACAAATAAATATACTCCTTAATGAGAATATTCAATAAAAAAAATACAACTCCAGTCTTCCTTACTGTAATAAAATAATCAATCTATCTCAGCTCTCGATGATCCATAATACATAAGCCTTGGTTCCATAATCCCTAAACTAACTAAATTCCTTTAATCCCTTTGCTTTTGATTAATTTCAGCTCTGTCATCATTATCCCTGTAATTATCCATAAAAATAGAAAACAGAGAAAACACAGGAAAATCCAAAAATGAGTTGAAAACTCAGTAACATTACTCTAGCCTGTAAAAACAGTTTTTCTTTCAAAATCATTTGAGCATATATCATACATACATAGTTGTTCAGAAATAATCTAACATCATTATTTTTAAAAGCTGTGTCGGCAAGGATCATTCCCTTTACGTAAGATCATAGGTAATTTCAGGTTTTGGACATAACATAACTTTCATTCGTGTGGGAATGTTTCCCCCTTTCATTAACATACTTTCCTCCACCTGTAACTCGCCTATTTTCAACGTTCAGTTTACTTTCCAATGCCGACAAAAGTTTTATCTATCGTATCATATTAAATCATTTCAGAACAACTTTACACCTTATAAAAATTCATAGCACATTGACACATATCATAATCATTAATTCGTAACACTTAATTGAATAAAATAATCATTATCGTTAAACATTTAACAGGGGCTTAACATAACAGCTCACTTACACATAATTTATAAACTAATAAAATAACTAGAATTACATGTCGTTCATAGCATTCTTATCACCTTGTATGATGTTAAGATATCTTTATGAACTATCGTACATATCAGTACATCGTAATAAAATTCATGTATTCGTAATCTTTTTTTGGTGGACATGCTAGTCGCCGGACAGTATGACATGGCGGAACGTCTTCCGCGATGGGCCGGTGCCCATAACATAGAGTAGGTGCTCGACATAGTTGGGCTAGTGCCTCATGGGTACATGCATTGCAAGATCGAAACATAACATATACTGCTAGACAAACTAGGGCTTTCACTTTCATTTATCATGTTGTGTACCTTTTAACAATTTATTCGTAGATTATTAACATACTTTCGAGAGATCCACAAATCAATAAAACATTGTACATATATAAAATCATTCATATAAATCAGAAGACTGAAATACATTAATAAACATGTTTATCATATTGCAAGTCATTAAGAATATATACAAGGATATAAAAGATCATGTCATGTCATGTGCACATAATACACTTTTAAATCATAACATGCCAAACATATCATATAGGCTTACATGTGATGTAGTAACAGGCCATTTAAGATTACACAAGTGCATTCATGATTACAAGACATAATTGTCACACATACAGGACTAGACACAGTTGCTAAACATAATAGTTACATATACGAGACTAAACACAATTGCTAGACATAATGGTTACCTCATTCGATCATCCTTAATCATCTCACTTAGCTTGTTCTCCAATAATCATCATTCGAACTCTCAACCTCCGTCATTAATTCCTCATCGTCATGATTTATTCGATCATACCCAAAAATAATAAATACTCATTAATAACTTCTTAATTCAAAACCTTTGATAAAATAAAGTATAAACTTATTTTTAGAGAACAAAACAAGTAGTACCTCATTTTGAGTAAAATGAGCATTACTTTAAAAATAGATAGTACTACTATTCATATTAGTATGTAGAAAATATTACTACAAAAACTTTAATTTAGAGAACTCTCAAATTGCTTTGGTATTAAAACTCATTTTTAGGAAGTTGAATGTACAAAGTACATAATCATCAATTCCTTGTGCAAAATAATATTAGAATATATATAAACACTACACTTTTAAGAGTAAAATAAGAACAAACATAGAACTTAGATAGCAAGCTACTACTATATTTTAACATCATTTTCTTATCATTAAAATATATAATTAATCGTTTTCAAAGAAAAGTTTTTATCTCAAATAAAAGATAAACTTAAATATACTCTGTAGGGAATAATTTCAAGCCTTTAAATCCCACTAGCTTGAACCCCACTGTGATCATACACTAAAGTACGGTGGCGTCCAAAAGGGAAGAAAATAGAGCAAAAGAGTCGCCAACAAGTTTTTTAAGGAACTTTTAAACCGTTCACAGGGTGAAGGTTACACCCCTTAACGATCCAAGAGATCGTCAACTCCATAAGGTCTAGAACCAAATAAGGGTTCGGGGATGAAGGTACAAATCCAACCTAAAAGAGATTGAACCTGCCCTAATAATAGGCCTCTACTTTATTCTGATCGTATTCATGTGCGCTTTTTAATTAACATGCAATCAATAGGATTAACCCTAAACCTGTTTATCTATGTTGGTTGAATTTAATGCACAAATAAACTATTATTGGCGATCACTTGAAATTATAATCATAATTAACCCTAACAAGATTATTAGATATCTTATTAACCGTGATTACAAGTACCAATTCCCTTTAAACATGCAATAAAAGGTGTGATCAAGCAATAACAATATAATATCAAGCAACACAATAAATAATCATGAATAATAATATCATCATAAAATAATAATAATAATATTCATAATCATCATAAATTATAACAATTATAATCATAATCATGTTCATGTTAATATTAAAGCATAATAAAAATTGCAAGATCCTGGGCATGATACTAACAAGATTAATAACAAACCCTAGCATGTCACTAAGCAATAAAAATCAAATCTTTAACCCTAACATGATACTAACAATCATACATATATTAGGAAGAACATAGGAAGCATCATAGCAATCATATTTAATATTAAAGTTACCCTAGACATGATACTAGGAATATCATAATAACAATGTAAACATGATTTCTACATCATAATATCAATAAAAATCAATTAAAGTACTTACGTTGATGCCTCGTACCTCTTTCTAATTACAAAATACACACGTCAGTAACTTCAAGGAAAATAATAAACAAACAATCAAATTAAATAATTGAAAGAGAGATTTGGGACCAAACCCTCAGAAATTAAAACCTTTCACGTCTAGGGCGAAGGCAACTTCGAATATGGCTAGGTGTTTCTAGATCTTGCGAATGCGGAATTTTATATGATAAAACCAAGTTTAGGAGGAGATGAATGAGAGAATTAAAAGAATGCTAATAAATGTTGATGAATGATGAGAATTGATGAATCTTAATGATTTGATGATGAATGAAAACGAAGTTTTAATACGATATTTATAGAGAAAATCAGCCAAAAAAGATAAATTAACAAAACAGAGTCTGACGCTTAGGAAACAAAGCTGGCGCCAACCCTGGCTAGCTGGCGCCAGGCACCAGCACTAGCGCCAATGGCTAGCGCCAGGCCAAGTTCCAGGCGCCAAAGGCCTGGGGTTGGACGCCAAGCTTGATTTTAACGCGTTTTCGAAAATCCGATAAGTTTACCGTACTGGAGGATAAAATAAAATAATTTCTTCGAAAATGCTATTTGATTTTGATTAAAACTCTGAAAAGTCAACTTATCAATGCTAATTGAATTAGGAATGAAAAGAACCTTCTAGAAGAATCTAGAAGACTAAAACCATTCCTAATTGCATTAGGAATGATAAATCATATTAGGCCCTCCCCTAGATCATTGGGTCGTACATAAAACTCAAACCGGGCCTAGTTTAGTAAATTGGACATAACTTTCTCAATATTCATCGGAATTGGGCTTATAATATATCGTTGGAAAGGTCTTTGCAAGCCCCATCCAACTACACCACTATTGGACCCATATCATGGACCAACCAAACTGGATTATTTGTTTTCTTAAAATAAAGTTTTCAAAAACATAGAGAAGAGAAAAGAAATTAAAACTTTCCGCAACACTAGACTTTTCACACTTTCGTTTCATTAGATTATGATTCGACGTGAAAGGTACTCATCACTGGGTTTGGTTTTGGGGAGACACAAATGGGTGTCTACAGAAGCCCCCACTTTGACTGAGTTTGGAGAAATGCAAGTTTCGAAAACAAAAGTCAAAGTAGCGATAGGGACGGAGAATGATTCAGAACGTTCTGCGATCCTAAATCGTTCTTGCAACGCCGATACCTGCAAAATTAGCGTTATTCAAACATATAAAAGATTTAAGAAACGCGTATCTTGCACCGTCGAGCACACGTCTCTGAAAGTAACCGATTGTTTGATGACCTCCTGCAAGCTAGAGAATGCCATCTCGCTTGAAAACTGCTACGCCTGTAACTGTTTCCAAATTAGAAGATTGCTTCGCCTGAAACGATCCTCCTCCGCTATGATAGTATTCCACATCCAAGGGAATACTATTGAAGATTATTTCGCTTGAAATAATCCTCATCCGCATTGATAATACTCCACATCCTAGGGAATACTATCGAAGATAACCTCGCCCGAAATTACCTCCAGCTGTTCGTGACAACTCTCCGCAAGCTAGGGAAGGTTGTCGAAGATATCTTCTCTTGAAGTTATCCTCATTTGATGCGATAATTTTCCAAAGGAATTTACCGAAGATCCACGCCTGTCGATCTTTGCTTCCGCTATGCCTGTACGTCGGCGCTCTTTTGTTTTGAACCTGTATGTCGGTGCTCTTTGCTTTTGAACCTATATGTCGGTGCCTTTCGTTAATGAGCCAATTCTTAGGCGCTTTAAGCTAAGTGAAACGATCTCTTATCAGGTCGATCACTTTATGTAATCAAGCCAATTACTAAATCATGTCAAATTGCTTAGAGGGGCTAACTGGCGTACCAAGGAACCCAAAAATATGTTGCAGAAGGCTAGCACAACCTCATCAGGTGGCTGGATGCTTTGGCCGTCGCTGAAAAACCATCAGCGCCAGCTATTTGGTGTTAGCGCCAGGCGCTGATGTTGGCGCCAGGCGCCAAGCCTAATTTGTGACGCCAATGCATAGGGACTGGCGCCAGCACGGGATCTCCCTTAAATACCCCTTTCCTCTTCATTTTGCTGCTCCATTCGTCGCGAAACTGCTCGAGGAAACCGAAAGCTTCAATTGCTCATTGCTTTCTCGTTTCTCAACCGAATTCGCTCAAATTTGTTGCAAATCAAAGCTCTTCTCATCTATTTTCCTGATCTATGTAAGTTTTCTTCAAACTCACATCAGTTTTTATGAATTCTTGGCATGTTTATTCACGAATTTCATGAAAATTCGAAATTTATAATGCTCAATTTGCTTTGTTTGTCAAGTTTTATGCCATGAAATTGCTTGATTATGTTTGTATATTACCTTAGGAGTAATTTGAGACTTGTTTGACTCAATTTGGTGAAGAAATGAGCAATTTGCCATTGTTGGACCTCTTAAGGTCGTGAAGAACAATGTGACTCGTTCCTGATGTTTTTGCTAGCAATTCTTGTCCAATTTGTCACAATAATCACTATAGTATTGCATGAAATTGTTTGATTACTTGAAAAAATGTTGTTATGCTCAATTTGAATTTGTGCTCAGTTTTAGTACTACGTACTCTGTTTTTTGCGAACATAGTATCATGCGGCTAGGCGAACCTTAGATACTATAGAACCTTAATTCATGATAATTCTGCACAATGTAGCATGGCTAGACAATGAGGCTCGGGTTCACGGTCCCGAAACACTAGACGGGAGCATGAGCCCGTAGAGGACGACGCCACACCGTCCACTTCACTCGGTCGGCTTCCGGAGTGGGACGAGCGGACTCTGTTCTTCGCCCCTGTCCACCAAATTTTCGAGAGGGTGAGACAGGGTACCGAGCCCGGGAGGACACGGCATCACGGCTCTGGCTGTGACGGTTTAGGCGATTTATACAGGATGCACATCGCCAGGGATCCTGAGACGAGGCTCCTGTGGGAGTCTTGCGTGCTAGCTACTCTGTTTGAGACCTCCGAGGCTATGGTCGCCTCCAGCGGGGGTCATCACGTAGTGCGCGCTTTGGTTGAGTTCTTCTGGGACACCACCAACACCTTTCATTTCCCTTGGGGCGAGATGATGGTCACCCCTACGGACTTCAGTCTCATCATAGGACTGGAGTTCACTTTTGTGCCACTGCCGTTTGACGGTGGGATCGACGTCTTCTCTTCAGAGGTCAAGGAGTTGTTGGGGCCGATCGCTATTCGGGCCCGAGCTGAGGTCGAGGCGACTCAGTTCAGTGCTAGGGGAATTCGCCGCTCGACGCTGGCAGCGGCTCTTGACGACGATGCGACCACCCGAGAGCAGCGGGTGCGCATCTTTGTGCTGATGTTGTTTTCAGGGACATTCTTTCCTGACAAGGGTAGTAGGGCATTGCTTTACTACCTTCCTACTGTCCGTGATTTCCAGCGGATCAGGACTTATGACTGGGCCAACTTGGCCTATGCTGACTTCGTTCGTGCGCTGAGGGACTCGTGTCGTCACCGGTCCTTTAGGACGAACGTCGCTTTGTCTGCTTTTTGGAAGGTCGTAGAGGTAAACATTATTCCCTATAAAGTTTAGCCCTACATATTAGTTAGCATTTACTCACACTTTTAACTCCTTGTAGATCTGGTTCTACGAGTACTTTCCTTCCGTTGCGCCGGCGAGACCATCGCCGAGGGGATTTCCAGTGAGCGCCTCTTGGGGCGGCCACCACGTGGCCATGTCTACTGCACGTGTCCGGAGTTAGATCATCTCGGTA